AGGGCTTTGGTTTTGTGACTTGTGCTGAAGAGGTGGATGCAGCAATGTGTGCTTGACCACGCGAGGTTGATGAGCGTGTTGGGGAACCAAAGAGAGCTGTTTCTAGAGAGGATTCAGTAAAGCCTGGTGCCCATCTAACAGTGAAGAAAATTTTTGTTGTTGGTATTAAAGAAAATACAGAGGAATATAATTTGAGAAACTACTTTAGGATGTAACGCAAAATTAAAACCATAGAAGTTATGGAGGATAGGCAAATGGTAAAAAAAAAAAAGGAGGATTTGCTTTTGTAACTTTTGAAGATCATGATAGGGTTGATAATTTGTTGTTCAGAAAAAACACACTATTAATGGGCATAGTTATGAAGTGAAAAAAGCTCTTTCTAAACAAGAGATGCAGTGTGCTATGGATCTGGCAACTTTATGGGTCGTGGAGGAAACTTTGGAGGTAGTGGAGATAATTTTGGCCATGGTGGAAGAGGAGGTTTTGCAGTTTTGCTGGTGAAGGTGGTGGGAACAGAGGAAGTTACGGTGGAGGGTGGTGGCAATTATGGTGGTGGTCCTGGTTACAGTAGCAGGGGAGGCTGTGGAGGTGGTGGAACAGGATATGGAAACCAAGGTGGTGGATATAGCAGAGGAGGAGGATATGATGGTTACAGTGAAGGGGGAAATTTTGGAGGCAACTGTGGTAGTGGTGGAAACTACAGTGAAGGAGGAAATTATAGTGGGCAATGGTAATTAAATTCTGGCCCCAGGAAAGGAGGCAGTTTTGCTGGGAGAAGCTTGGCCAGTCCCTATGGTGGTGGTTACGATCTGGTGGTGGAAGTGGTGGATATGGTAGCAAAAGGTTCTAAAAACAGCAGAAAAGGGCTACAGTTCTTAGCAGGAGAGAATGAGGAGAGCTGCTTTGAGAATCATCCCAGATGCATTAGATTAACTGTACAAATCTGCCACAGGAGGAGTGGTGATCCATAGTCAGAAAGGTTACTGCAGCTTGAACAGGAAACCCTTCTTGTTCAGGACTGTCACAGCATCAGTTTGCAGTAAGTGCAGCTATTGATTAATGCAATGAGGTGTTAATTAGATGTGCATTCCTGAGGTCTTTTATCTGTTGTAGCTTTGTCTTTTTCTTTTTATTACATCAGGTATATTGCCCTGTAAATTGTGATAGTGGTACCAGGAATAAAAAATTAAGGAATTTTTAACTTTTCAATATTTGTGTAGTTCAGTTTTTCTACATTTTAGTACAGAAACCTTAACACAATGCAGTTTTGAAGGTGTTTCCTTGTGAGTTAATAAGATCATTGTTGATTACTATTTTGTATGAATTTTGCTAATGTTAACTGTAAAGAAACACCTGCTGACTTGTGGGTTAAGAGGAATCTATTCTCCCCATTTGCAAACCGTGATATGAATGGGCACTGACATGTAGAGAGAATAGATATTTATATGTTTGCGATGTGAGTTTTAGATAAATAGGATTGGGCATTTAAATTCGCATATTTGTGAATTTAATTGCGTTAAGATAACTGTCAAATAAAAATCTCAAAATTAAAAAAAAAAAAACGAACAGGAGGAGCTCTTTCATCTTCTAGCTCACTGAAATGGCCTCAAGGGTCAGGCCTGGGCTAGACTGAAGCAGGAGCTTCTGCATTTCTCCCCTGTAGCTACAGGAGCTCAAAGACTTGGACCATCTTCTGCTGTTTCCCCAGGCTCATTAGCAGGCAGCTGGATTAGACGTGAAGCAGTACTCAGGATTTGAACTGGCAGCCAAATGGGATGCCAGTGTCACAGGTGGCAGCTTTACTTGCTATGCCACAGCACAGTTCCAGTGAGTTAAAGAATATTTGTTATTTATTTGAAAGGCAGAGTCACAGAGAAAGAGAAGGAGAAACAGACATGTCTTCTGTCTAAACTATGTACTCTGAGTTGACCCCAGCAGCCAGGGCTAAGTCAGACCAAAACAATCCTGCTCTTCCACATGGGTGACAGAGGCAAGTACTTGGGTTGTCATCACTGCTTTCCTAGGTGTATGAGCAGGGAGCTGAACTGAAAGTGAAGCCGCCAGGACTCAAACTACCGTGATGTAGGATGCCAGCATTGTAAGCAGCAAGTTCACTCACTGCACCATAATGCCTGCCCTATACCAAGTGATTTCAAGACCACCAATACCCTACAGCCCACAATTTTTTAAATGTAATTTGGCTCTTTGTCATAGATTTACTGATTTATTTGAAAGGCAAAATAACAGAGATGGGCCCAGCGCCATGGCCTAGCAGCTAAAGTCCTCGCCTTGAACACCCCGGGATCCCATATGGGCGCTGGTTCTAATCCCAGCAGCTCCACTTCCCATCCAGCTTCCTGCTTGTAGCCTGGGAAAGCAGTGGAGGATGGCCAAAGCGTTGGGACCCTGCACCCGCGTGGGAGACCCGGAAGAGGTTCCTGGATCCTGGCTTCGGATCAGCACAGCACGGGCTGTTGCGGCTCACTTGGGGAGTGAATCATTGGATGGAAAATCTTCCTATCTGTCTCTCCTCCTCTCTGTATATCTGACTTTCCAATAAAATAAATACATCTAAAAAAAAACAAAACAAAACAGAGAGATAGAGAAAGATGATTCTGGTTCACTTCCCAAAAGGCTGCAGCAGCCATGGCTGGCCAGGCCTAAACCAGGAACCAGGACTTCTGTCCTGTTGTCTCACGTGGGTGGCAACTGCCCCACTTCCAGTCCAGCTCCCTGTCAATGCACGTGGGAAAGCAGTGGAAGAGGGCTCGAGGACTTGGGCCCCTACCAGTCCACATTAGAGACCTGCATGTTGTTCAAGATTCCTGGCTTTGTCCTGGCCCAGCCCAAGCCATTGGGGCCTTTGGGAAGGATTTCTGCCATAAATAAATAAGTAAATACATACATACATACATGAATCTTTTTAAAAAATTGCTTGGAATGAAGAAAATGAACTCCTTCATACTCTACCCACTTTAATCCACTTTCCTCAGAAGTAACTGATAACATGTAGTTTTATAACCTTCCATTCTTTTTTTTTCTGTGCAGCATTTCTTGTTATGCATAAACAGGATCCAATCATATATTTTGTTCTATTCCAGAGAAAAATGATAATAAGAAACTAATTTTGAAATCTGTTAAGAATTCATGGCCAGGGCTAGTGTTGTAATATAGTGGGTTTAGTCACCTCCTGTCCCCCGGCATCCCTTATGGGTGTTAGTTCACTTCTGAGCCAGCTCCCTGCCTGTAAAAGCTGCAGAAGATGACCCAAATGCTGGGTCCTATACCATGTGGGAAACCTGGAAGAATCTGGACTCCTGGCTTTGGTCTGACATGTTTGGAGAACCAGCAAATCAGTGAGCTCTCTCTTTCTCTCTCTCCTCCCCTGCATTTCTCCTCCTCAGTAACTCTGCCTTTGAAATAAATAAAAATAAACCTTAAAAAAAATCCATGGCTTGGGGACTGTAGAACATCAAGCAGAATCAGAGTGATTGGTCACCTTCCTCTGTAGCCCCGACTTTGGGATTATGTTCCTAATGATGTCTTAATCCTCTGCTGAATTCTTCTTTACCCTTTTGTGTTTCTCTTTCTCTGCTGCTTTTGCACTAGGGTTGCACGACAGCTAATATTGACATATACTTTAATATATTAATTCACCTTTTTTGGGTCACTGGAAGCAGGGCTAATGGAGTGGTGGGGTGGAAGGTAAGGCTCTGGGAGCTAGGGAAATTTTCTTGATAATGTTTTAATTGTCAGTGTTGAGCACTTAGTTTATGTCATATGTAACTGCTTTGTATGTATTAGCTCATTTGATCCTTACTACAGTTTTACAGAAACGAATGCATACATCTACGTGGGTACTTTGAGAAGCTCATGGAAACTGGAATTAAGAGATAGGTTTATTTTGGTGCCAAAAAAAAAAAATCTTGAAATTAATGCATATGAGTGTTTAGTAACATGCCTCAGGCTGACAGCCAGTAAGTATCAGTGGAACGCAGACCCTGAGTCTCTGTTTGCAGTGCTGCCTGTGTGATTTTCTGTCTTTACTATCTAGTAAATAGGATTTTTGAGGGTTTTTTTTTTTTTAACCAGTTGAACTTCAAAAACTCCAGTTAAAATTCAGAGCCATCACCGTAGTGACAAAATATTTTCCCACATAACCTTCTAGGAGGGAAAGAGTGAACAAGCAAAGCACCTGCTTGGGCTTTGGGCTGCTCTGCCTGTGCTAACTCCTCTTTGAATTTTGTGGTCTCTGCCCTTCCCTTCCCCCTCCTTTCATTTCAGGATAATGAAATAAGTTCAGGTTTAGATGATAAGCATCTCAAATTCCCAACTTTTCTCTTTCTGTCTCCTCACCCTCCACCAACTCTCAATAGCCCTTTTGGAAGGTAATGGAGTTGATTGAGTGTATTCCTTCATCAAATATTGATTGCTTGAAGACTCATCCCCTATACCATCCTCTGGAGACTCCTGCTTGTGTGTAGAAGGTATACCTTCCTGTGCCACCAGCTCGGGAGCTACGGAGCGCCCCTTTGCTGTAGAGAGGGTAATCTAATCCTCGGGCCCCAGCCCGACAGCTGCAGTTTGGGAGCAGGTCAAGCTGACCGACTCTCAGACTTGCTGCATTTGGAGAGGTGGCAGAAACAAAGTGCAAGTAAAGTAATCTGTCAGTTGTGTTTCTCCCCTTACCTTTGATCAAAATAGAAAAAGGAAGATTTTTCTGGCTTTAGGACCCCAACTAGATCTTAAGAAATGCCTGAAAGACTGGTCATATAGGAAGGAAGCTGACCCTTACCCTTAGGAAGGGTGGTGACTCAACCCAGCCCCTACCCCTAAAGTAACGCTGAGAGAGAGAAGCAGCCCTGGGTTACCAAGGAGATACTAGGAATCTAGAATACCCGCTAGTGGATCAGGATATTGTGGCCAATTTAAGGTTAACCAATTGACCAAATTAAAAAAAAAAAAAAAAAGCGAAATACAAACAATAGTTTTTGAAGACCTGATGGAGAATTAATTAATGATTGAAAACTTAAAACTTTGTCTCAGTTTGTAGTCTTTCCACTGGTGTTCCCTTGGCAGCTGGGAATTTTGTGGTAGGGCAGACTGTTTCACACAAGTAGTTCTCATTTTACTTTTACTCTTTTGCCACTGAGTGTCAGCTGCCTGGGACCCTCTCAAACCTGGAGACTTTCAGTGTTGGATGATTACAAGAGCTAAATCCTCATAGGAACAGGAAAATGAAGAAACTATCCTTTCTGGAAAAAGTAATTATAGTAGCAATTACAGTTGACATTCTAATTTTGCTCTTTTTTTTTTTTTTTACAGGACTGTTGAAGCCTGGACGTCCCCTCCCCTTCCCCTTCCCCCTTTGCCGCTTTGTGGCATCCCCCTCCCTCTGTCCTTTCCCCCTCTGCCTAATAATCCGGCCATGACTAGCAGGAGCACAGCCAGGCCCAATGGGCAACCTCAGGCCAGCAAAATATGCCAGTTCAAATTGGTCCTGCTGGGGGAGTCTGCAGTGGGAAAATCTAGTCTGGTATTACGTTTTGTCAAAGGGCAATTCCATGAATACCAGGAGAGTACCATTGGAGGTGAGTATCAGGGAGGGAAGAGTGAGTGCTTAACTGAGGCTCTCAAAGGGAGGACTAAGACCTGTTTGTACAGCTGACCCTCTTAGGTTGTTTCCCCAGAAATGGAAACCTTTCATACCACCAGAAAGATAATTGTTCTAACACCAAAAAAAGCCCTTCTTGCTCTCTAGAAGCAAACCAAGAAAATTGCCAATTTTATGTCTTCCTTCTCTCTAGCTTAATACAGTGAAGTTCAGTTGAGTGTCCTCTTGAGCTTGGAGCATTTATTCATAATCAGAGATGTACGCCAGGTTGATCCAGGGTGCCCTGTTAGCCTTTGCATGCATGCCTGGGCTGAGAAGTCTATGTTCTCCTTTTTATTAGTCACCTTAGAAATATGAAATCCCTGGCCCAGCGCCGTGGCCTAGCAGCTAAAGTCCTCGCCTTGAACACGCCGGGATCCCATAGGGATGCCGGTTCTAATCCTGGCAGTTCCATTTCCCATCCAGCTCCCTGCTGTGGCCTGGGAAAGCAGTCGAGGACGGCCTAAAGCCTTGGGACCCTGCACCCATGTGGGAGACCTGGAAGAGGATCTAGGTTTCTGGTGTTGGATCAGCGCAGCACCAGCCGTTGTGGTCTCTTGGGGAGTGAATCATTGGATGGAAGATCTTCCTCTCTGTCTCTCTTCTCTGTATATCTGACTTTGCAATAAAAATAAATCTTAAAAAAAAAAAAAAAGAAAGAAAGAAATATGAAATCCTGGGAGGCCACAAGCAGGGAGCTAGAAGGGAAGTGTATCAGCCTGGACACGAACCGGTAGCCATATGGGATCCTGGTACATACAAGGACTTTAGCTACTGAGCTACTGGACTGAGCCCTCAAGTAATATCTTAATCGCTGCTCCAGTGTCCTCCCCCTTCATTTTTGATGTGACTTTTACCTGAAACTTGATGTCTGTCATTATTTGTTATTACCATTTTGGTTAGAAGAAGCATTATTTCTCTCTGGCGTATAGTTTGTGATACACTCCCATTACTCAGCAGACGAACTTCCAACAGGAAGGACTTAAGCAAAGGCAGTCTTAATCCTAGTTCCAGGACTTCCCTGAAAAGAATACTACACTTTTCTGAAGCTGAGTGGCCTATGTGGTCTTGTACAGAGTGTAGATATTTTCAAAGGGGCTTGTATGTTTCCATTCACCCTCCCACTTACAACCATTTCCCTTGTGTTTTCTCATCCCCAGCGGCCTTCCTCACCCAGTCTGTCTGTCTAGATGACACAACAGTCAAGTTTGAGATCTGGGACACAGCTGGGCAGGAGCGATACCACAGCTTAGCCCCCATGTACTACAGGGGCGCTCAAGCTGCTATCGTGGTTTATGACATTACTAATCAGGTAAATGGGCTGAGAACACTAGCTGGCCTTTGTTATGTTTATAGAAATCAGGTGTGGGGGGAAAGACAAAACAGGTGCTTGAAATAGCAATGTAAGAGTACAGATTGTGCTTCCAAGTGCTAAAAAGCTAGTGGTAATGAGCTAGCCAAGACCCATACCTTCACTGAGGGAAGGTGCCTACAAGAGGTGAGTTTTGAGGCTGTGTTTGGAAGGTGATGGCAGTGGGCTGGCAGACATTGCAGCATACTAATTTTCTTCATGTTTTTCCAGGAAACATTTGCCCGAGCAAAGACGTGGGTAAAAGAACTGCAGAGGCAGGCCAGTCCCAGCATCGTTATTGCCCTAGCAGGGAACAAAGCTGACCTGGCTAACAAGCGCATGGTGGAATATGAAGTAAGGTGGCCTAGACAGTCCCTCTCTTAACACACTTCCCCCATACTTGGGACCTCTTTTTCCCAAACTAGCCTTCTCAGAAAATCTTTAGTTTGCATTAAATTAAATATAACAACACTATGGTAATAGCAACTATGGAATTTAGAATAGTCAGAAGAAAATTCCAGTGCACAGGGTAGGGAAGTAACAAGCTGTGAGGGGACCAGTATGAAAACAGGAAAAAGGGAGCAAGTGAATTTCATGTAAAGGACTGCTCAAGTGTCAGACTCCAGCCAAATCACCCTGTCCCCTATAATTAAGCTCCCTGGCATCCATTGAACATAGCAAACATGGGTTTATCTGGATGGAGTCACCACCAAATTACGGGCCAAGGCCAGTTTATGCAAAGGGTTATTAATTAAGGGGTGGGGGACCTAGGATGTTGCCTAACTCTGGTGCTATAAGAGAGTAGAAGACAACACTTATTTCTGCCTAGCTTTCTGAGCACTGATACCCCCACCTGCTACAGGAGGCCCAGGCTTATGCAGATGACAACAGCCTATTGTTTATGGAGACTTCGGCCAAGACAGCCATGAACGTGAACGATCTCTTCCTGGCAATAGGTAAGGTCAGAGCAGCCTCAGGTTCTTTCTCTCTTCTCTATAGGCAAAGTCATGGCTAACTCAAATCAAGGGTGACTGGGAATGTCTCCTCTTAGAAGAGCTCTAAGCATGGGAATACCCTGACTTCCTCTGGCTACAGATATATAGCCCCCTAGTCTCTCATGTGGTTTGCAAGCAGCAAACCCTTCCTGCCTCAGAGCATTGCTTCACTCTTGGATTTGCCCTACTTGTCCTACACAAGTAGCCTTTTGGGGTGTGGGTGAGGTTTGAGTAAACTCTACCATACTTTGTTCCCTTCTCTTTTTTATCTCTAGCTAAGAAGTTGCCAAAGAGTGAACCTCAGAATCTGGGTGGTGCAGCAGGCCGAAGCCGGGGTGTGGATCTCCATGAGCAGTCCCAGCAGAACAAGAGCCAGTGTTGTAGCAACTGAGGGGGTGGCTAGCAGCAAACAAGTATGGAGCTAGCACGAGAGCTAAGAAATAACCTCCATCCCCACCCCTCAGCACACAGCCCCTACGGTAACAGCACACTGAGCCCTGGCTCCCAAGGGCTGCCTCCTGACAGCTCCGTCATGGCACTTTTTAATGCTTCAGCAACCGACACCAGGCAGCTGTTGCCACTGGCCTCCTGCCCCTTACTCCGGGGCTTGGGGGTCAACCCCCCAGGACTTACCTTCCAAAACAAACTTTCTTCACTTTGTATTATAGGTGCAAGACAGTGCCCTACTTACCTTTCCGCCTCCTTCCCCAGTGATCTTTCCCTTCTTTTCAGAAAACACTTTTGTCTTCTGTCCCCTCCCCCTTTTGCTTTTGAGAATCCCTGTTCTTAATCCCGTTTTCCTCCTCTGCCCAAGATAGTGAAGGTGGTTAACACAGGGACTGAGGAAGAAGGTTCAGTCACATTGAAGGCCTTGGGAGAAAGGAAGGCCCAGGACAGAAGAGAGTAAGGAAACAATTTTTTTGTTTTAAGTTTTAAGTTGGCTGGAGTTTCTCATATTTGAACACACAGCAGTGTGGTGTCCACGGGTTGGCCTTGTGGAGGGTGGTGTCCTGGGCAGGGGGTGAGAGTTGGAGGCAAGCTGTGAGGCATCAGCAAATTAGATGGTGGTTGGCAGAGAAGGAGGTACAGAGTCATCTCTGGCTCTGGAACTTTACCAGGCACACCTTCCTCTCATCCAGTGTCCCAGGTAGCGTGTCCCTTATCATGGGAGTCAGAGCCAGAGTCCTCCAAGGAGTCTTCTCTGGTCACCTGTGTCATCTCCTAGGGGAGGGACAGCCAGCTTCCATCTCCATCCTTCACTGGTGTGGCAGCATTTGCTCCTCCCCCAGCCTTTGGATGGCCTTTGCTCCAACAGCCACATCCCCCTGCTGTTTGCACTTTAACTGATGGTAGTTCAGTGGGATATTTGTTTTATGTAGGGGAGGGGGATTAAGTCACCTGCCTTTCCACCTTTTTGTTTCTAGTAAGTAAGATTCAGTTTTATTTTATTCACCACAACACACTTGCGCCTCTTCCTCTAGGAGATACTCATCAGGTTCTTAGGTGAGACAACAGACAATTGAATTGCCAGTATAAGTAGTTATTGAGGGCCTGAGAAGCAACATCCTTTGCAACTGTCTCCTAAACCAAGTCCCCCAGGAGGCATCATGGAGAACGCCATTCAGCTTGACTGACCAGCTTGTCCTCTAGTTATGGAAAACTCTCGGAGAGTTGCCACTGCATTGATATCACGTGGATATCAATGTTTTTGTCATCTCCATATTTGATCATTTCATGAACAAAGTCATCAGTGGGTTTGACATGGACAACTGCATGATACTGCTTGTTACCAGTCTTACACCGCTTCGTTTGAGTGGGTTTCAGCTCCCCAATTAAATTACAAGCTGCTTGTGGGCAAAGACCGTGCCTTTGATCTCTCTGGAATCCCTCTCACAGTGTCCAGAACAGCACCCATTACAGAGCAGGTGCCCAAGAAACGGCATTTGGTGATGGACAGCCATGGCTTCAAGTCAGAGGGTGGCTGGGTCTCCTTCTGTGGATCTATCTAGTCATGTGTGTAAGGCAGTGGCTGTAACTGAAGCAGCCTATGCTGGGCACGTGAACTGAGCACTCCAGGCTGGGTCGCTGGATTGTGTAGCTGGTTACACAGTCCTCCCCACTCCTTTTTTTTTTTTTTTTAATAGAATCTGCGGAAGATATGAGAGTTTGGAAGTAGGTGGAGAGAAAAATTCAGTGGCAGCTACTCAAGCCCAGTCTCCACTGCTAGCTCCCACCAACTCCAATTGACAACCTATATATTCTTGCCAGACCAGCGAGAGAGAGAGAGAGAGAGAGAGAGAGAGGCGTGTGTGTGTGTGTGTGTGTGTGTGTGTGTGTGTGTGTGTGTGTGTATGTATTTTCTCTGAAGAATTAAGCAGCTGGGGAGTGGTGTCAGGATAGCACAGGTCAAGGTCAGGGAGCAAAGGGTCAGGCAGAAGGGACGGATTTTCTATCCTTTCCAAGGGTTCAGTTTGATTTCCATTGCCTTGTGTTCTGTACTTTTCTTGTAAATATGTATGCGCTTTATTCCTACTGTCTGATCTGTTCTTTCTCTTGCCTCCAATCTGGTCCTGTTTTTCTCCTTTGTTAGTATCTTGAGTTGAGGTCTTCTGTCTTTGCCTCTGTTTTCTCTCCCCATGAACCCCTAGGGGCTGGTGCCACAGGGGCCCCCTTGTGGTCCTCCCGGTACCACCTGTTCCTGTGGACAGGGAATGACTAGCACTGAGGGAACCTCAGAGCTGTCTCACGCTGGCAGAGGAACTTGGTCCTTTCTGACTATCTAGCCTTCCATCAGGTGTTTTAGGATGGCTACAGGAAGCCATTCAGGCAAGAGAGAATTCCAGGTCCCTTCTTGTCCTCGTTCAGAATTTTGGGAAAGTTAGGGGAAGAAAGAGAGGAAACGCTGTAGTCACCTAGAATGAAAACCGTTCTGGCCGCTTGGGCTTGCAGACTGCCTTGTATCCCAGAGCAGCTGAGAAATCCATGAAGCTGATTCTGACGAACCCATCTTCATAGATTGTTGTACTTGCGCCTCCGTTCCCTTCCTCTTCCAGGGGCAGCCTTAGTTCCCATGGCCCTGAAACACACACCTTCCCCTCTTCCTTTCCCACAGCCCACTAGCCTCTTAAGGCACCCAGGATGTTGTTTTTACATGTGGAAGAGCTGGGGTGGCTCTCAGAGTCGCTTAGAAGTGAAATCTTTTCCCTGTGCAGCTTTCCCCTTGGAGCAGGAGTAGACATTGTATTGCCTTGGGGCTGGGCAACAGTTCCCTTGGCCCCTTAGAACAGTATCAGCCTTAGCTTCTGGGCCTATCTGCTGCCGTCCCTCCAGTCCTACCAGCTCTTCTGCCTTCCTTTAAGCTCTGTTGGGCTTGAGGGTCTTAGTTTTTTATTTCTCACCTCTTCATTATTTTTTTTTCTTATCAGTTTTTAGAGGGGGAGGGCATCTTTTTTTTTTTTTTTTTCTAAGAAAGCATTTGCCTTTCTGTCCCTCTTCCTCACCCAACATAACAATCGTGGTAACAGAATGTGACTGCTGATTTACCGATGTATTTAATGTAAGTAAAAAAGGAAAAAAAAAAAAAAAGCCTTGGAGTGTTGCTTCATTTTTTGTTACTTGTCTGCTACTGGAAATTTGGAAGAAAGCATAGCCAGTCATGTTTTACTGCTTCAAAAATACACCTCGCCTGCACCTTGGTGTTTCTCCTTATTCCCTTTAGTCTTCTTGACATGAAATAATCTAATTTGGAAAGTAGCTCTTTTATTGTTAATCACCGCCATTCACCAAACAAGATAGCTCATCAAATGTGATTTTAGAATCTCAAACCTTATATGATATGACAGAGGGGTGATTTTTGTGAACCCTTTATATAATGTGCAGATGGATGTGCGTTTTTCTGGGGTCTCTTGCTATATTAGTTTTTCACAGAGGGCCATAGCCTGAAGGTTAAAGAAAAGTTGCCAGATTAGCTTTTTTTTTTTTTTTAAAAAAAGATTTATTTATATTTATTGAAAAGGCAGATATATATAGAGGAGGAGAGACAGAGGAAGATCTTCTATCCGTTGATTCACTCCCCAGGTGGCCGCAATGGCTGAAGCTGAGCCAGTCCGAAGGCAGGATCCAGGAGTTGCTTCTGGGTCTCCCACATGGGTGCAGTGTACCAACGCTTTGGGCCATCCTTGACTGCTTTCCCAAGCCACAAGCAGGGAGCTAGATGGGAAGTGGGGCTGCCTGGATTAAAACCAGTGCCCATATGGGATCCTGGTGCGTTCAAGGAGAGGACTTCAGCTGCTAGACTATCGTGCTGGGCTCCAGATTAGCTTCTTTTGATTGATTATACACCTTCCATCCCAAGAGGAGATGGAAGCTACCTTTGACCATGCCTGCTCTTTAAGCCCTATAAAGCAGAGAGGAGGTGAAGCAGGAAAGATGAGTGAATACAGTAGTTGTTTTTAAATAATAAATTTTGTTTTTGATGTTTAAATAGTTGAGAAGGATGCATGTCCATGTGGACCACCGGTTAGAGTGGGAAGGGTCAAGAAATCGGGGAAAGTAGATGAGACAATTGCTTCCTTTTTTTTTTTTTCTTTTATCTGGGGGAAGGAGAGAGAGCCAGGGAGAAGGCCGTTCCCAGCAGCTTAGCCACATCAGTACCCAGGGATTTATGATGTCCCAATGTGGACGATGTTCTGAAGGTAATGCTTAAGTGGTTTTTATGGTTCTGAGATGCTGTTGGTTTTGTTGCTCCAAGGTTGAGAAAATCCAAAGTCCATTGGCTGACACAGTCCACCTTAGAATTTCCACTTGCCCAGATACTTGCTGTCAAAACTTGGCCAGGGGAGTTGTCCATTTTGTCCTGCCTTCCATGGTACTAGGCATCTTCTGCAGACTTCACTGATCTGTCATGTCCCCCTATGAGCATCTGGGCATATTGTCCACTGCACAGGCTCCAGCAACATGAAGACCTAGTTCTGACATCTGCACTCCACATCACTACAGACCCAATGATTTTTGCCATGTTTAGTGTTCTGAGTCCAGTGGTCCAGTATGGGGATCCCCAAAAAAACTTCACCAGAGGAGACCCAGATCTTACTCCTGTGTGTGCCAGCCAGTCTGGCTCAGTCTGTCACCCACATCAGCTTACACACACACACTTATGGTTGCTGTTGCCCAGTCAGTTCTGTCCCCAGCCTCATCTTTTATGCAAACCAATTGTGGTGCAGCCCTGCCCACCACACACTTTGCCTCACACACACCAGCTGGAACTGCAGCCTAGTGGGCGCAACTAATGGTCTTCCAAATATCCTGAGGGAGAAGAGATTAGAATGGTGCCAGTCACTCCTGGTATTCTAGGCCCATGTCTGCCAGTGGACTGGCTGTGACCTTGACCAAGTTACTCCCTCTGGCCTTGGTCTCTTCATCTGCAGAAGGAGATTGGAGGTTCCAAGGTCAGCTAAATAAAGTGCCAAGTACATATGGGAACGAGTATAACCTTGAGTTGAAGCTTGTAAAAAGGACTGGTAAGAAGAGTCCAGCATCAGACCTCCTCAGCGGTTTAATTGTACACAGGCTGGAAGCATTTTTACTGTCAGTTCCTTTTGCTTTCTGTGCTTCTCTGGCAGAGAAAGGGAAGAAAAATAATCTTCCAAACTTAAGGGCGAGGACCTTTGAACTGACTAGGATTTTAGTTTCACCCTCAACTGGCCGCTAGGGGGCAGCTTTGCCCCAGGATCAGGAACTAGGTCTGATAAACTCGGTACCGCCCCAAGTGATAAGCGGGTAACGGCAAACTTAAAATTTGCTTAGAGATATATGATTATGAACTCCATATTGAGCGGTGTTAAATTTGGGCCTTTAAAATGGCTATTTTAGAAAATATTGAAAAAGACTCGAGTGCTTTTCCGTAATTTAGGGAGAAATGTAATGGGAGTCCCAACCATCCCAAAGGTTGAGAACCTTATTTGAGGTTTGCCTTTCCCCCATTCCTTCGCCTTGCTTTCGCTCCAGACCTATTGCATTGCAACACAGAAATCCGTCAAAAACAAGGGCGGGGTTGGAGCTCACCAAGTGGGCTGGGACGCACCCTCCACCCCACCCCATCTCCGGGCGAGCAGCGGGGCTGGCCCTGGCCGGGGGCGTCTCCGAGCCGCCCACCTCCTTCGTCATCTCACGTTGCCCGAGTTCTGGACAGTGCTGGACATCGGGACCCATTCCTCGCCTACCAAGGCCCATAACTGACTGAAGTCACCAGGCTGTCAACCGTTGAGTGGAGACAAGAAACATCCTTCTAGGCTCTGAGTCCTAACAGCGCCCACCCGCCTCCCCGGCCTCCGGGTGGGAGGCCCGGGAGTCCGGAAGTGGCCGATGACCAAGGGACCAGCCGAGGGGTGCGAGTGATCCTTCACTCCCGCCTCACGTCACGGCGCTAGCCCCGCCCCCCGCGAGCAGTCACGGGCAGCAGAGCTGGCAAAACTGCCGAGAGGTGCGGACGACTAACCCGGTAAGGGGGCTGCGGGATGCAGGTAGGAGGGAGGCAGGCAGAGGGCCGTGGTGCCGGGCACCCAGCCTCCACGATGAGGAGGCTGCCGCTGCTCGGCCTATGCTCTCCCTGCGGGTGTACTCTTGAGCCCCTGGGATGTTGCCCTGAGATCCTCTGAGCCAGCAGCTAGGCAGTGGCAATAGGGACTATTGCTTCTGCCCGGATAGGGGACCTAGCTACCTACCTAAAGCGCCCCCGGGGGATGAGGGCCCCCATACCAGCGGCTGCATTTGCTGTATTGCAGCAAAAGGCTGCCTCTCCCACACCCAGGAGCCTGGGTTGTGCTGCGAGTCCTGTCTGTTTGGCTTTAGTCTGGTTCTAGCAGGCTTCTGGATTAGTGGGGAGGGCAAGCATTCCGTGGTCAAAGGGGGAAGTTGTAGACTCCATTCCTGTTCCCACTGGTTCATTGGTTTCTCTGTCTTGTACCTCCTCAGAAATCAGGACACTCACCTCTCCACTCTGGCCTGGGAGGTGGGGGGTGGAGAAGGGGGGGACGGGCATGACAAAAACTGCTTTGGGGCGGACAGCTGTAAAAAGGAACTTCCTTCTCTAACTCATCCCCTGACACCTTGGTCGTTGACCGCTCCAATTGCTCAGCTCACTGGAATGCAGAGACCAAGGCTGGTGCAGAAGTGCAGGTGCGGATCCAGTTCCCAGCAGTGTACAGTGTGGGGTGTGGAGGGAAGGAGGTGCTGAAAGGCCTTTAGAGACAGTGTTGTTTGCTGATCAACTCAGCTCAGCCGCACAGATCTCATTTCAGATCGGAAGGTGCAGGTGCCTAGAGGCTTGGTGTCTTGCCCACAGAGCAGGGCTGGTTAATAGCTGAGCCTGGTTTCACAAGTTCCCTGCCATCGGCCTCTAGACTCTGAGCTGCTGCCACTACCCTTTTCACATTGTTGTTCTTTTAAGTCAGTCTGATCCTGAGTTAGTCCTTGTTGATGTTCAACAGTGTGGTTGGCAGACTGGACAGTAGGCAGTTAGCATCTGCCCTTTAGGTTCCCACTAGGTTTAGACACTTTTCTCTAATGGATAAAGTAAGCTGTTGTGGATCCTAGAAGCACCTGCCTCTCCCCTAGTGAACTCCTCCTAGCTTATTGCGAGGGTCCCTGCGATTCCTTATGTGCCCACAGAGCTCTTTGCTGACCTTCCCCCATCTTCCTCCTCCCACCCATCCCCGTTCAAGTCTCCCTAACATGCCCTCCCAGACATCTTATTTTGATCCCACAATCTTCCTGCTACAGGCTGGCCACAATGCTGCCGCTGCTGCTACCCAGGGCTGTGGTCTCAGGACTCCGTGGGGCCTGCAGGTAAGCCATCCTGAGGCTCATCCTGTTGGCTTGATAACAGTTATCTTATCTGCAAGATAAAGAGTTGAAGGGGTGGCCTGGGAGGATAGGGAAAGTCTGATCCCCTTGCCAGAAGAGGTTACCTCTCCCTCTTCCACACTCAGGTCAAGCCCCTCCTGGCTCTGCACTCGGGCCTGCTCTACAAACGACTCCTTTCAGCCCCAGGGTCCCAACCTCTGCAATTCTGGTGAGGGTTCCAGCACCAGTGGATGGAGAGTCCTGGGGTCCCTTCTTGGCCTCGGGGCAGCATTGGCCTATCATAACCATCGCTGTAGGGTAAGTAACAAAAAAGCTTCATAGTGGGAACCAAACGTTCTGAGTGAGCTCCTCAACCCTGTGACTTGTATTCTTGCTGTTCAATTTTTTTTTTTTAAAGATTTATTTATTTGTAGGGCCCAGCGCAGTGGCCTTAGAAGCTGGGGTCCTTGCTCGGATCCCATGTAGGTGCTGGTTCTAGTCCCGGCAGCCCTGCTTCCTCCATGTAGGTGCTGGTTCTAGTCCCAGCAGCCCCGCTTCCCATCCTTCTCCTTGTTTGTGGCCTGGGAAGGCAGTTGAGGACAGCCTGGGGGCCTTGAGATTCTACCCCCTTGTGGGAGCCCTGGAGGAGGTTCCTGGCTTCTGGCTTCAGATCGGTACAGCAGCAGCCATTGCAGCTGCTTGGGAAGTGAATCTTCGGGAGGAAAATCTTCCTGTCTCTTATC